AAACAATCCGACGTGAACGTTTTACGGCGGTGATTCGGATAAACGACCACGCGGGTTAATTGTTCCTTTTTGATTAAATTCGGTATAAAAGTTTGGACGATTTTACGGGGTAACTTTGGTAGAAATTTCACGGGTTAAATATCACCGTTTAATGAAATTTTTCGATGCTTTCTCGCGTCGATAAATTTTCCGAAAATTTTCACCGTTGAATATACGAACAAGCTTTGTACCAGGGGGTCATCGAGGAGAATGGATGCTATTTTGCTTAACCTCGGTTATCGTGAAACCAGCTGGAGTGCGTTTTTACACAAACTGTTTCCGAAAATGACGAGAGAGGCGATTCTTTATCTTTTACGACGCTTATGAAGTATCGCGAGATTGTAGAAATTTCAATTTTCCCTTAGGTTTCTCGCGGAAAATTGGAAAATTTATCGCCCCGAGAGAGTAGAGTATAATACGAAGTTAGAGGGAATTAATTTTCAATTAAAAATTCACCAGCGAGGTTCCTCGGACTTCGAAAATTTCGCCGAATTTTTCGAGGAAGTTCTGACGGCAGTTTCCTCGGCCAGAATTTTTTCCAAGTTTCCCTAAAGTTTCTCGTTATACCTGCCGCTGTACAAACTGCTGTTTCTTCCCTGCTTCTTCCTCCCCTCCCGATATATTTCCAAGGGGTTAGTTCTAATCGGGTCTGTCCACCGAAGCGGCGGCGAAATCGCCGGCTTGCTCGTGAAACTTAAATCAACGCCGAGAAGTTGGTCCCGCCGTGACTTAAACTTTGACCCACCGACCAAATATTAACTCTTTACTCCGTTGGATAAAGAAGAATTTCATCTTTCCCCCGGAACGAACGAGGGAAACTTCTTCCCGGAATCATTGTCAGGACTTCAAATACAGTTCCGCGAGCAGTTTTAAGTCAAAGTTTGCGCAAACTCCGATGATGACTTTGAAAAATCGTTTAATCAACTCAGACAGGGAGCGACTATATTAGATTCAAAAATTATCTTCCTCTGTTAGGGTGAACTCGAGCCCTGAATATTGCACTACGTGCCGTCTATAGTTCTCTGGAAGGACCACCCAAAGGTTGATAACGGCTTTGGGACCGTAGTGATGTGTGACGCTTCTGACTGTCTTGTCTCTGATATTTTTTCTGTTACTCTTTTAAAGACTCCTGTCCCAGCACTCCCGTTTCCCTTTCCTCGTGTCCTCCCTTCCATTGCGCCCTTGGCGTGTGTCCTTTCTGGAAGGAGAACTGGGTTCTTCCCGAGAGAAAGTGGGAGAGATGGGGGTGACTAACTTTTCACCGTTAGGAAAAAAACTCCGGACTTGGTGACGTCGTCTTGCGCCAGGTCACCGCTTGGGTCTTCGGGGTTTATGACATGGCCTGTGTTACCGAGTCCTAATCCTATGAACTAGCGAAACATAATTAAAAAGGTGAAAAAGGGAAAAACTAATTTTGTTAATTCCAAATCCTAATGCTGGTGCACGGATGGTACGCGCATTCAACAAAGGTCTCAAAGATAACTGCCTGCCTGCTCCATGTCATAAACCTCGGTAAGCTAAACTCTAACATCCTCGATGGATCATTCCTTCGATCTTCTGATCGTCCCATGGATTATTTGTATTCCATTTTCATGGTATAGAAATGTATTAATTTTTGTGCTCCATTTTCACAGTACAAAGATGTCTTATTTTTGTGTTCCGTTATCATAGTATGCAAATATATTAATTTTTGTGTCCCATTTTCACGGTGCAAAGATGTCTTATTTTTGTGTTCCATTTTTGTGATATAAAAGTATTTTAATTTTTATGTCCCATTTTCTAGATACAAAAATATGTTTAATTTTTGTGTCCCATTTTCTCGGTATAAAAGTATATTAATTTTTGTGTCCCATATTCACGGTACGAAAACATGTCTTATTTTTCTGTTCCATTTCCAACAAGTCGATGTATAAGTTCAGACACTTTTCCGAGCCATCGCAAAAGGACGAAGTGTATTGTAAAATGTGAAAGCACTTAAATTCTGCGTCTTTTAATTCACCCACAAAGGATCGGTTGAAATTCTACGAGTAATCGACACGAGAATCACCGAGAACTACTTAACCATCGAGTTCCGTCGAATTCCTTTTACGATTCCTCGATTCTTCCTCGAGCAAACATCGAGCAACGCGTTAAAACCCTCCTTCAAATGTACCAGACGGAATCGTTTCCAGCGAAAATTTCGCGCTGGCGAACCGAGTACTAAAAGCGCATCCTCGTTTCTCGCGGACGTTTATGGTTGGTAATAGTTGGAAAGTCTCGTGCCCCAGGGCGAAAAGACTTTTAACCGACGTGTATTTTCCGAGTTCACATCGATTGCACGGTTCCGTCGAGATTTTCCCCCGATTTCGCGCGAGCCAGACCTCGCTTGCTTCGGAAGAAAAAAAAAACACACAACTGCGAAACCATTTGCATTTCCCCCCTGGTGAAATATTTATGCGAGGAATATTCATAACGAAAATTATCGCATGCAAATAGATATTTAATAATGTATCACCGAGCGAGGGATTTACATTCGATTAATTAACAACCGTGTGAATCGAATGTACTCTACCTGGTGAATCAACGAAGATTGCAAAGTTATCCGATTTCGTTTCTTTTCGCGAATGAATATTATAAATATCACGGATGTTCCACGAGAGAGAGAAATTATCCAGGAAATAAGGATATAACGTCGCCTAGCCGGTGGAATATTTTTAGTTGAGCTGAAACGTAGTTTTTTACGTGTCACTGAATATTTCTAACGGACGGTGAAATTATCGCGACGCAGGTGAAAATCACCAGAGTCTTCTCTCTCTCTCTCTCTCTCGCTCTTCCTGGTTGGGTTCCTTCCGCACGTAAGTCGGGGATCGTTCCAATTATTTTCTTCCAGTGAAACGATCCCCACGTTCGCGTTGTAATAGCGTTAACCCGCGATCGTTTGTTCCCCGTGTCTGGTTCCCAACCTAGCCAGGAGAACCTTTAATGATCCACCACCGATAATTAAGCACGCTGTTTCCTGTCGTACGTAAAATTCGATCAACCAGCCGCCTATTCGGCCTGCGAGAAACGCGTGGGAGCTGCTTAAGTTTTTAGTTAAAGTGTTGCCGATGAATTTCTGTAACGTGTAATGAACGAGCGAAGAGAGCGCGAGTAATTCACGGGGAATTTTTGCGTCGAATATCGCGGGGATCTCTTTGATTAAACGTCAGAACGGGGTTAAAGTGTCTGTAATTTTGAAATTTCTAACGGAACTTGAGGCAGCTTGTTACAGAAGGCAGGGAAATTGGTCAAAGAATTACGCGAGTGCCATTTCAGTCAGGCTAATTAACGAAATGAACAGATGTCGACGAGGATTGAGTTACCCTTTTCTTGCGCTATATCAACTTTGTGTTTCAATGTAGACTCTCTTTGTGAGGAATGTGAAACGTTTTATTCGTAGAATTTTCTGAAGATATGTTTTATCTACTGTGGTGTAACTTTAATGATCTCTCAGCCACTGGATTGCTTCAAAGAATTATCATTCTTGCACTGTATCAACATTTCAACTTTGTGTTTCAACGTAGCATTCCTTTATGAGGAATGTGAAACGTTCGATTCGTGGAATTTTCTGAAGGTATGTTTAATTATCTCTCCACCACAGAGTTTCTTCGAAGAATTATGATTTCCTGGGTTGTGTCAAGATTTCAACTTTGTGTTTCAACGTAGCATTCCTTTATGAAGAATGTGAAACGTTCTATTCGTGGAATTTTCTGAAGATATGTTTAATTGTCTCTCAGCCACAGGATTGCTTCAAAGAATTATCATTTCCTCGGCTGTGGCAACATTTCAACTTTGTGTTTCAACGTAGCATTCCTTTATGAGGAATGTGAAACGTTCGATTCGTGGAATTTTCTGAAGGTATGTTTAATTGTCTCTCAACCAGAGAATTGCTTCAAAGAATTATCATTCTTGCACAGTAACAACATTTCAACTTTGTGTTTCAACGTAGAATTTCTTTACGAGGAATGCGAAGCCTTTTATCTGCAGAATTTTCAACCAAAGGATACATTTCATTCACCCTGGAGTAATGTTAATTGTCTCAAACCGTAGGATTGCCTCGAAGAATTAAGGAAACACGTAGAAAACGTTTCGTCTGGGTCCTCCTTTGACAATCCAGCGGGAGAAGAGGAATTTCTTTCGAATAGGTTGTTTTCTTCGTTAGACTCTTTGGCACGACGATATTCGTCGTTAGAAAAATCCTTTTCGCCTTAGGCGTACCCGTTGTTGGAAAAGACTCAAAGAGTTCGCGCCGATCTGAAACGAACGAAGACAGCGGACGAAGAGAGGCGAAGGCACTCGCGAGTACGTCTTACCTCGTTAAGAGAATAATGCCCTTCCGGGGCAAGCGACGAGCTTCCACCCCCCTGGACTAACGAGAGTCAACGATGCAGACAGGCAAAAACGACCACGGACACCCCTTGACAAAAGCCAATCAACCCTACGAGTTCGTTGATGCGATCCTTTGAAGTCGAGAGGGAGAGGGACTTGTGGAACAACAATTAGACGTTTCGTCGGGGTTCCTTTGGACGACACAATTAGTCGCTTAATGATACTCTTTAGTCTTTTCACGAGGGCAGAAACTTCCTCGAATTTTCAAACTTCTAGGAATTTTAGAATCACAGGAAGTGACAATTTTTGAAAGTTTGGGAAATATTTATTATTAACATTCTCGTCCATTATTCTACCTAATTTTTCTCCACAGATTTGCACTATTCGTCGGAATTAGGATTTATGCAAAGTAGGAACTAAGGAAGCAGGAAAAAATGAACGAGGGATATAAAAGTACCACAACGATTCTTGTTTTCGTTTGAATTTTTACTTCTCAATCGATACTGTACACGAATATTTGAAAAATGAACTTTTGAAATGGTTGAAAAATAGATATGTTTATTCTTGAGAATTTAGAACGAATTATAGGGGCTGATGGTGATGTTTGGATGCAGGATATGGACATGCTGCAACTGTTCGCCTCACCGGCGGGTCGAGCACTGCTCACCACTGACAATCGACGGAGAGGATCGACGTCGACCTCCTCCTTGTCTCGAGAGTCCTCTTCGAGGCTGAAGAGAGGCAGAAGACCATCGGGTACAGTCAGTGCGCCGACCACACCGCCGAGGCAACGCAAATCGAGCGCGGAACTGTACAAAGAAGCCGTCGAGATCCTTGGACTCACCTGTTCGTTGACTGATAGCTGCCGATGCATCGATTGCCAGGTGAATACCCTCTTTACCTTCGTTCTATTCTACTCTGACAGATTTTTCCAATTTATGTCTAATATCCAGCAAGTAGAATTCGAGGTGATTTCTCAGGCATATCGAAAAAACATTGTAATCAACTTCCAAGTACAATGTTCCGTGGCATACCCGCGGGACCTTAGCCTTCCCTTTGTCATGATTTGACCGTCTTGAATAGCACGGGTGGTTAGCAGTTTGTACAAGGGACAATCTGCGAAGTGCAAATTGCAAGCACGTTTATGACACGCAAGCCAGTAAAGTCGTTTTTGAGAGTCGATTTATTTTTATCCTGCAATTGTATTTCTTCGAGTTTCTTCGTCCTCAACGACTAATTGCATGTGCCATAAACGTGAATCTCCAAAGGGTCATCGAGACCGGGCCCAGCGACCGTCGACCAGATCAGGTCGCAGGATCCAAGCCAAATTTCCCACATAACGTCTTCCACCTCCCCAGACACCACCTCCCCTGCCCGGAATAGGTGGGTGTCGGTGGATCTATCACCTGATTGACAAAAATACGTACCAATCAGGTGACAAGACCGGCTCGGAAATTCGAAACATCGTAATCTCTAGTTCAACGCACGTCATCCACACCACTAATCCATCATTCAACTGCTTCATTAAAATAGTCTACTACGAATTATTTCATTCACGTTTAAACTTCATTATCACACCCCTAATATCCTTACGGTCGTAAGGACATACGCGAGTATAGACAGACGCGTATTCTCGTCAGAAACATACAATTTTATCAAAATTAAAACACTCGGTGAAGTGAAACGTTATGATGAAAGGATGGAGATTTTATTTAACACTGGTTGCACCAAAAAGGAGAATATTAGTGTGGCGACCGCCACGGGGGGGCCACGCACTGATGCCTGGCGACTCTTGGCCCTCGAGGACAAGAGTATCGCCTCGGAAATGCAGGCCTGCGCCCCCACTTCCTGCGACTTTCCCAGGGAAAAGGGGCTACTTAAGGGAGCCCCGAAAAAGGCACGAGGCCTTTCGTCGTAGACTTCCTTTCTACGCACTGGGGCCTGGCGACTCTTGGCCCTCCAGGCGAAGAATCGAGAGATGTTTTTCCAAACATCTCCGAGTTTCTTCGTCCTCGAGGACAAGAGTATTGCGCCCCCACTTCCTGGGACTTTCCCAGGGAAAAGGGGCTACTTAAGGGAGCCCCGAAAAAGGCACGAGGCCTTTGGCCGTAGACTTCCTTTCTACGCGCATCGTATCGCCTTGCATCTAAAATTAGTTTAAGTATTATTGGTTGAATAAATATATCTTTGTTACCCACTTCACGTCACTTCCAAATTAGAAAATATCCTTTTTGTCACTCGTGAGAGATAGAAATTCCCAAGGAATACAAGAGATTAAAAAATGAAAATTCAATTTGCTCGTGCATCCGTAGCAGCCGTACTAAAAGTAAATACGTATATATATGCACGTAGGACGCGTAATTGCGCCCATTCACGAAGCCACTTACAGAGCGCGTGCAATTAGCGGGAATCGGCGAGAATAATCTTGGAAATTAAGGGGGATATTGTCTCGATTCGAGAACTAATTGCCTAACCCCTGTGTGTACCAATTACAGCCTGGGTTGGTGAGGCGCGGCGTCATTGATTGGCCATTTTCTCAGCGGCGCGTAAATATTTCTTTGTCCCAGTTTCAGCCGGTGTTCTCGTTTCGTGACGCGAATGGAAGAAAATGAAACGTGGCCGCGGCTGTTTGAATTTAATTAAAAATTTCCCCGGCTGGAACGGTTAACCAGCTGGCAGATTCAGTCTGTTGGAAATTTTTCAATACGCACACGTGTGCACGATTATAGAATTCGAAGGAGAGAGAGAGAGAGACTGTTAGCTTTCGAGCTTTGGATATTTTTCTCCATTCGTGACAAAGGTTTATTCTTGAGCCTTTTACGGTCAGGGAATTTTCACATTGAGCCTTGGAGCTTCCAAGGGTAGAGCTGTTTGGCATTGAACTTCCAAGGCTGGCTGTTTTCCTTCGCTTGGACTTTCAGTGGCTGGCCTGGAACCTTCGACCTTTTAATTGTTAGCTTACAGAGCTAAATTACTTTGTGGCCGGAGGGTGAGCTCTGAATGGTGAAAAGCTGCGACCTCGAAAATTCAATGTCGCCAAGCTCTGATCCCTAAAATTGGGTATCAGCGTTGATGTTGAAATTTTAATGTTACAAAGCTCTCATCTCGGAGATTTCATCCTGCGAAGCTGTGATCCCTGAAATACAGAGTCACAGAGCATTTGCCTTGAAGTTTTAATATTGCAGAGATTTGCCTTCGAGAATTTAGTGTCACAAGGCTCTGTTCAAAGCTCATTATCTAATTGAGTGTTGGAAAACTGAGAATCACAGAGCTCTTGTCTGGAATTTTTAATACTGCGAGGCTTAGGACCTTCCAAATAGAGTGTCATAAAGCTTTGATCTGTAAAATTTCGAGTCACAGAGCGTTTACCTCGAAATCTTAGTATTGTAACGCGTTGCCATCGAAAATTTAACGTCACAGAGCTCTGCGATGCAAATAATTGAGTATCATAAAGCTCCGACTCATAAAATTCACAGTCACAAATCTCTCGTCTTAAAATTTCAATATTACGAAGTTCCAACCTTGAAAATTTACCGCCACGAAGCACTGAGCTTGCGAAATTGAGTCTCATAAAGCTCCGATCTCTGAAATTTCGAGTCACAGAGCGTTTACCTTGAAATTTCAATATTACAAAGATTTTACATCGAATTTAACGTCAGAGAGCTCTGCGATAAAGCTCCATCTCACAAAATTCACAGTCACAAATCTCTCGTCTTAAAATTTCAATATTACGAAGCTCCAACCTTCAAAATTTACCGCCGCGAAGCACTGAGCTTGCGAAATTGAGTCTCATAAAGCTCCAGCCTTCAAAATTTCATGTCACAGAGCGTTCCCCTCGAAATCTGAATATCTCGAAGCGTAGATCTCGAAAATTTAGCGTCACAGTGATCTGCTACATCAAATTGAGTATCGTAAAGCTCGAATCCCTAAAATTTCGAGTCACAGAGCGTTCCCTTCGAAATCTGAATATCTCGAAGCGTAGATCTCGAAAATTTATCTTTCCTACTTCATCAAACATCGTTCTGTCACTTTCATGCACACTTTCGAAATCACCTCGAAGGATACAACAATCCCTTATAATCCAGCTAACACGACATTCACGACATTATTCTTCTACTTTGCAGAGTAATTACTTCGACTGCGACGACGATTTCGGTGACGCGAGAACGGAATTGGCTGCGGGGACTCCCATTCTACTGGACCACGCTTTGTCGCATCCGCTGACGTGTTCCATACAGTAGCAGCCGAATAGCTCGTTTCGAAATCGACCTTGCGCTAGTCTGGTCCAGCTCCTGGCGAACCGGAAATCATCGAGGTGTCGAGGATCCATCGGAACCGCTGAATTTAGGACGAAGTGGAGATATTCGACGCGTGCACACCTTCGGGGGCAATCTCGAAGGATCGTCGAGAGGGGCGAATTAAACGGAGAAAGAAAGAGAAAGAAAAGTTGGCTTTTTAATTAATATATATATATATACACATACAACAATAAAGAACTTCTTCCACTGCGCCGAAAATCTGCACGAATGGTCTTGATTCACACGTGTATGCTTGTTCAAACACAAAAAAATAATTCGCTCGTCCTCTTCCAAACTCCTTCCTAATTGCGTTCGTTGCGTTTTTTGTCGACCAGACACGTCGACAGTTGTAATCAATTGTATATTATTGTACGTGTACAGGAAACGACGATGTGAAAGAAAGAGAGACGTGCAGCGACACCCTGAACTAACATTTTTGTATATTCCAATTGCGTTCAAATAATTGTAAACACGTTGGATCCGTGGGTTAAGAATTTACTTGCTAGCACAGGCACGAAGTTTCGATTTGTAGAGAGAGAGAGAGATAGAGAGAGAAAGCAGCAGCGAAGAAAGCAGAATTGCTTCGATCTGATATACGCGACCTCATGTGATTCATTCCTCTCATCGTTCTCCTCGATGCGAAAACACAGTTCTCAAACTGAAACAATTTCACCGCGACAAAGTTCGCGTCGTCGCGAAGGCAAATACGACAAATATATAATTTCTGGACAATATTTAACGGAATAAGTCACACACGCTCCGCATTTCGTCTTTTTCTTCTCTCTTTTTTCGTCTTTTTTACGTGTATACGAGAACGAAACGCCAGGCTTGCCTGTACCTAGGACTGTTCACATGTACAAACTGTCCCTGAACGTACAAGAAAATTTCACGAAACCAAAAATTCCTCGACGAGAGAAGGGAGGGGAAAAAAAAGAGAAAAAGAAAGATAGCAAAACTTCGAAGCACCATCAAAGTTTCATGTTTTTATTGACAAATATTTCTATGCGGTCATTCCGAAAGAATTTCGAGGAAATGTAACGAAAAAAACCAAAAAAAAGAAAAAAAAACAAATTGGGGAGAAACGAAGATGTATATTATACAAATACGCTCGTCTGGCTCAAATTGGACGAATTTATTTATCGACGCGAGAAAAACGACACATGCCAAATGAATATAAAACGATGAAAAAATAATGCGCCAAATTTCTAATATAACTAGCGATAACGATAATAATAATAATAATGATTACAGAATAAATAAAACGATAACCCTAATAATTAATGAATAATAAACTTCGATCTAGTCGGAAAAAGTGTAACGTGATTTAAGAAACGTTTACTAGGTGACATTTAAATGGTTCGTCGGCGATGTCTTACAATTATATATATATATATATTATATACATACGTGTATACATACACAATTATATTTACTACACGTTTTATTATTATACTTCGATTAAGTCTAGTAGGGTATAATATATACGTTGTTGAACGTTATGAGCTCGCGAACAACTCGAATAAAAGAAAAAGAAAAATGGAAAGAAAAGTAATAGAAAGAGAGGGAGAGAAATAGGAGGTGAAAAAGTTACACGAGCAGAAAGGTGTGAGGAGGAGGAAAGAAAGTGTAGCACGTTGATACGTAGAATTTATTATGCGCGTCGAACACGTATGTGCGATTAAGTTTTATAAAAAAGAGATTAAAAAAAGAGAGAGCGACTCCTTTTTCTTTTTTTGTTCGTTGGGT